CCAAAAAGCTCTTACCAGCTGAGACACGCTACAGTACCTTTGGCCGTGAACTACTTGCCATTTACCTGGCTGTGAAGCATTTCCGGCATTTCCTTGAAGGTAGTGACTTCACTGTTTTCACTGACCACAAACCGTTGACTTTTGCACTTCGTTCCCACTCCGACAAGTACAATCCGAGGGAAATCGCCCACCTGGACTACATCTCTCAATTCACCACCGACATCCGCCACATTGATGGCACGAAGAATGAGGTGGCTGATATGCTGTCCAGACCCTCACTGTCTTCCCTCCAACTCTCACACGGGATCGATCTTTGCGCCATGACGGCTGAGCAACAGCAGGTCGGTTGTCCTGGTGATGAGTCTGCTAGTGGTCTCCAACTCAAAGACGTTCCTCTGACCACCGGCTCTGGTAACATACTTTGTGACGTCTCAACTCCCTTTCATCGCCCTTTTGTGCCCGCCTCGATGCGTCGAGCTGTATTTCAAATTCTGCATGGACTCTTCCACCATGGGATCCGAGCCTCCCAAAAGCTCCTCGCGGAAAGGTTTGTCTGGCCTGGCATGAACAAGGACGTCAAAGCTTGGGCCCGGTCGTGTCTGAGCTGCCAGCGCAACAAGGTGCAGCGTCACAACAAGTCCCCAACAGGCACTTTCCCCAGTCCCGACGCGTGGTTTAGCCATGTGCACCTGGATGTTGTAGGCCCCTTGCCTCCATCCAATGGTTTCACCTACCTCCTTATCTGTGTCGATCGGTACACCCGTTGGGCTGAAGCTGTTCCTTTGCCGAATGTGCAGGCTGAAACAATCGTGAAGGCCTTCGTCAGTCGTTGAATCGCCATGTTCGGTGCCCCATCCACGGTTACGACTGATCGTGGTGCCCAGTTGGAGTCGGCACTCTTCCAAACGCTACTCAATTTTCTTGGCTGCACACGCATTCGGACGACAGCCTACCACCCAGCTGCCAACGGTATGGTGGAACGTTTCCATCGCCATCTAAAGACTGCCCTGCGTGCCGTAGAAGACCCAGGAAACTGGTCGGTCAACCTTCCTCTTGCACTCCTCGGCATCCGCGCAGCTCTGAAGTCGGATCTGGGCTGTAGCGCAGCTGAATTGGTTTTCGGCACTACCCTCCGACTGCCAGGCGAGATGATCACTCCAACCTCTCGTGGGTCCGACGAGACTCCTGACAACCTTGTGCACCGTTTGCGGCAATTTATGCGCTCTCTTTCCCCGGTTCCACCTCGAGCTCCAATGACTGAATCTTATGTCGAAAAAGACTTGGACAAGTGTACTCATGTGTTCGTCCGGTGTGACCGTGTGCGCCAGCCGCTGGAATCACCATACGAAGGACCGTTCCGCGTGCTCACGCGCAACACCGAGACCTGCCGGATTCTTCGCGGTGACAAGGAGGACGTGGTCAGTGTCGATCGGGTCAAGGCTGCGGTTGCAGAGGAGCCGCCGGATCCGTATAAAGGACAAAAATGTGCTGACCCCCTAACCCCTGTTCCTCCATCTTCCCTATCCCCTGCTCATTCATCCTTCCCACTGCCTTGCCCTTCCCCTCCCTTGCCCTCCACCCCTCCGTCCCGCATACTTCCTCTCCCTACTTGTCTACAGCATCCAACTGCAACATCATCCTCTACCATAGCACGCACTCAACCCTCTTCTGCTTACATCACCCGCAGTGGCCGTCACGTTCATTTTCCCGATCGTTTAGTTACGCATTTTTTCTGGACTTGTGCATATCCTCCGGCGCCGTATTCCGTCGCCCTCCGGTCTAGAAAGGGTGTACTGTGGTGAGGTACCTGACTAATGTATCTTTGACAATTTAGTCCCACTTTCTTTGATCGGATTGCTTGTTTGAATGTGACGAAAAACGACACACCTGTACAACCTGCCTAGCTAGCGTGCTCCTCTGTCGTGGTCTGGTGTCAGTTTTCTTAACGTTCAAAATCTCTATATTATTCACTGCTCCGTTTTACTTGCTGCCTTTAAGGCTAGGGGCTCGTGAGATATAACTCGTTAATTCGTGAGAACATTATCTTTTACGACAAGTTCGTCGACTGAGCATATTTTCCTCTGTATAAGCAATCTAGCCTTCTTGAAGCTATCACAGTACGTTAAAAGCCGTGGCTTGGAAGGTTACCAATTGCCGGGATAACTTGGACATCGCAGTCGGCCCAGCGTTGTGTGTTAGTGTGGAGTGGCCTATCGGTGGTCTAAGAGTCATTCTGCAATGTCTTAATGTGGACTCTATGGCACTGCCACCTTGTGGGATCCGAACCTGGTGTGACGGCACGCCAAGGTGCGAGTTCGACTGCGTTAGCCCCTTCAGTTGTTGTTGCTTACAATCGTGGTCATTTGCTGTGCACACCATGGGGTATGGAATGGAGCGTCAAGGTGCGGGCTCGATCATGCTATCCAACTGCGTCCTTCCCCGTCCGCGGTCTTCTTGACTATATCTTTACACCGGGTCCAGGTGGGGAAGGAGGTGAGAGTGCGATAAATGCAGCGCAAGTTCGCCACCACTACGTGCTAAATCACGCTCAAGTTATGGTGCCTGCTTCATCTTGTTGTGGAGCACACGGTCGACATCGTGGGGAACGACGGTTAAATTGTCGGTGGTGGCGGCGGCGGCGGTGGTGGTGGTGGTCGTCGTCGTCATCATCGTCAGCAATGTCGGCGGCGAATCAGGGCTGTGATCGCCAGTGGTGTTCGAAGTGGTCCCTGTCGTTGACGCCGTGGGGGCTGGTGTAGGGGTAACGATGGAGACGCCTGAAGAGACAGCAGATGAAGTTGTCGGGTTGATGTTCCATTGGCTCCAGTGATACCCGACGATGCCGGTTCGTTCGCGGAATGCTCATTGGCAACGTGGGCATTTTTACGGGGGTGGTTGTTGTCGCGAGCCGCTCTTTAGATTTTAGCACTGGCCATCCGCTTGGCCTCACAGATTACTGCTTCAGTCTTCACCGCCCTTCTTCAGGTCGGTCAGTCCTGAATGAGGACTTCCCAGGTCCGGGTCAATTTACAGTTATTTGGGAGATGTTTCCATGGAGCCCTTGTAGCATCATTTTTGCCCGCCGTTTCGGCAAGAAGCCGTAGGCACATCGCCATAAAAGGGTCGCTTGAGTATACGCTCGTCATCCACCCTCACGAGGTGACTGCTACATCGCGGTTTGATCTGTTCCACTATGTCTTGAGTGCTGAGAATCCTGGTTCGTTTAGGAACTACTGCGTCCGAAATCCTGTCGTACCTCCACAGCTTCGGTATTATTAGTAGATGACTGAGGGGATAGTAGGTGAGTTTGCTGACTTCATTGACATGGACGGCCTACGTCCCTTTCCCCTATAGTGGAATCGCCAGGATTACCACCCTGTGCATTTTGAGTTTCACATGTCATTGAAGTTGTGGCAGTTCCAGGCGGAGGCCTGGCTGACCTTTGGAGATTCGGAGGACATATCCGTCATCTACCTTGGTGTTGTTAGAGATTATGACGCGTAGGTAGTGTTCTGTATGCAAAACAGAGGGCTAGTTGGAAATAGGGCGTGTACTGAGTACGAGAGACAGCACAAGTGAAGAGACGGCCGGATATAAAACGGGAGGGGGGAATGTCATAGGCTGATGGGTGAACAATTAGCATAAAGAAGGGGCGAACAGGGATACATGACCTTGGTCGTTCGCCTGCCACGCGTTTGTGGCATGATGTCCTGACAGCCCGGGCAGCATACGCTGCAGGTAGGCGAACTTGTCCTCTTATGTGGGTCTTGTTTAATTCACATGGCGTGTTCCTCCTCTGTTGCTGATTTGTGCATGACTACTTTTCTGCTCGTGTTGTTGATCAGCCCGAATTTTGCACAATCGGAAACAAAGAGGTCCAGGCTTCCGTCGGGACACTGAGTGCTCACTCTTCCGCGAAGAGGACTGTGGTTGCTGAATTCCGCGTGGACGCTTGTATTTTTCGGATGTTGAAAGCTGCTCGTGGATGCTGAATGTGATGCTGATCCCGAGGCGCTCATTGCGGTAGGCTTCCGGCAGCGTGGCAGAGGGCCTGATACTGATTAAGGTAGGAGCATGTGCGCAGCCTAACTTTTCTCCATTGGTCACTGCGAATTTTCCCAAGACTGCCCTATTGTCAGTGACGTGCGCCATCATCTCTTGAGGAAGCTATTTTACTATCGAAGCGAATGACCCAAAACATCTGGATTTCTGTATGATTCACCAGAGCCCATCACGATTCTCTGTGTCGAAGACCTTCTTCAGGTTTAGGAAGATAGTGTAGGGTCTTGTGTGCATTACCCGTCACCTCTCCTGTAGCTGTCAGGTATTAGACGTTATGCCGTGATTTCATGGTGTCGTTGAATGCCACGTCGTCTTTTCGGGAGTTCAGACAGTCGCGGAGGGCGCAAGCAAAGATTTTTCCGGCGATGTTGGATTTCTAAATGCCTCTGGAGTAGTGGGTGTAGTGTAGCCGTACAGCACCACAGTCCAAGACCCCATCCTAAATCTCATTTCCTCAGCCTACACACAATCAGACCAGAAATGAATCCGTCCACATCACCCACCACCTGGTCAAAATATGGACCTCACATGCAACACGAGAGCCTGTTCCGCGCTGTATCCCTGCGCACAATCTGACCGCTTGGTCGCGTGTGGCACACGTAAACGGACAATCGCAGTTCTGCCAGTCATTGCACTCACTCTCAGCACCAGGTTATTGGCCGGCTTAGACAGTCAGCTGGTGCCCGTGAGAATAATGACAGAGTGGGGACATCTCTGAAAGCTTTACTCCATGACACTTCAATGCATCCCTCACTGTAATAAATCTCACGTACTTTGAAACTATTGCGATGTGCTAAAAACTGTGGTTTGGAAGACTGATAACTGACAGGCTATCTCGACCCTCGAGACCAGCCCTATATGTATGTGAAGTGGCGGACTGGCAGACTCAGTGTTAGGCCGAAGCGGTCCCTTCTTAATGTGGTCTCTGCGAAACCCCCATTCAGACTGAGTCCAAGTTACGCCTCTGTGTATATGAAAACTCGGCCCATTTTGTGTGACTCCGATTAATTGGGGTACGCGTTTTATCACCGATTTAAGGTTGGTTTGGGGGAGATGCCGAGAAAGTATACTGTCACTATAAATTAACTCACGCGCAGATTGCTGATTGTGCGCCTACCATGTTGTGGACCACACCATTGAAATCGTCGTTCGTGACGATCCAATTGCCACTTGTTAATGTTGTCAAACCTGCTTAAGTTCCTAGCTGCCTACTTTCCGAAAGAAACGTTTTTGCATCAAACCGTCAAACTTACGTTGAGCCTTTCAGATTATCTAACCCTTGGTGAGATTTTCCTTGTTATTAGCTAATGTGCACATCACCGCCTACATGTACGTCCGCGTTCTGTTTCTGTGGTTATATCATCATCACATCACCGTCAACAGAGCGCCGTGGAGGTGGAGGAGGAGGAGGGTAGGCTAGACGTCACCCAAGCTGATTTCAGAAAGGCTTTCGACCGCCTTCCGTAAAAGCCTCTAATTCACAAGTTTTCTGAAATTGGAGTAGGATGCAGGTTGCGGAAATGGATCGGAGTTCCTTATAGGGACCGCAAACCGAAAGCGTTGGTACGTCAAGATCAACTCCTAACTCTGTTTCAAGTGATGTCCCTCTGGGCTAAGTATTTGAGTCTTTACTCTTCCTGATTCATGTCAATGAATGTGTCAACGGTCTTGGCTGCAGTTCCTTCGTGTTTGCTTACGATGTCAAACTATGGCATGCTATCAGATCTGAATCAAGTAGGCTCCCACTCCAAGATAATCTAAACCAACTTGGCAGTTGTTTCGCTCGTTGACTCTTAAATTCAAACACTAGTGTGTGATCCTAAAACCCCATATTAGGGTGGCCAACACGGAAAATGATTCTTTCTAGTACGTTCTCGATTGATATCCCCTTCCAAATGTTGGGGCGACATAATTTCCTCAGTTTTCTCATGATATCCCCACTCAACCCGTCGTGCCAGTGTTTAAAGGCATTTAAAAGTACGACATAACTGCTATTCGCGTTGACACGAGCGTTTGTGCAGACTGATCGGGAAGTGTTATGTGGAACCTACGGTGCATTTGTTCGGTCTCGATTGGCCTATGCTATACAGGCCTGACGTCCGTGACTCAAGAAAAATTATCAACTGCTGGAAAGAGTGCAGGCGAGGACTACAAAAATGATGAAGAATTTTGGCGTTCTGTCATAGGATTACCAGCTGGTTGGACTTAATTTGTTTCCTCCAGAGTACATGCAATCGCGTGGCGAACTCACTCAAACTTATCGGACTGTTATAGGCCGTAAGTGCGTCCTGCAGTTCGATAACTGCATTGGGAGTGTAGGGCGTACCTCAGTGGGCTCACCTGATGGTCGTAGCAGGTCGCTCACTGGCTTGCGGGTGCGGACTACGCCTAGCGTCCACTTGTTGGCATCCAACTCTCACCTATGACTCCCAGAATCTAGGCTCTGCCTTGCGGCCACACCCCAGTAACCGCCTCGACCGGCTGGCAAACCAGGTGAGGGTATCTGCATGTGCATCTGCGCGCACGGTAATGAGGAATCCGCTGGCCGAATGGATCTTCGTATCGGCATCGTAGAGACGAGGTTCCGTCTGGTACACCGCAGGAGGCCACACGCTTATGGCGATGCCGTAGGTTGTCCCAGGCTAATTCGGGTCGTTCTTCCACCACACTGAAGACGTGGCCCATAGTGGAGTTCGGCAGCGTCTGACAAAACTCAGCGGCCCTATGTGGGGTGACAGTAGTTAATGCGAACCAGAGCTCCCATCCCTTGCCAGCGGAATTTGACTGTTGCTTACTAACTTCATTGCGACTGCGAGGATTGCAAGTAAGCTGGAAAAACCGGTCGAGGTGCAAATGCGAACGAATAATCCTTACGAAAACGATGTAGACTGTGTGCCTATCTTCAAGAGCTCAGGTTTAGTTCCGGAGAGATTGCAGCAAAGTGTCTGTGCGGGGTCTTTCTTTCTGAAACCCGTGTTAGGAGCTCAATAGCAGGTTATGTACCTCTAGGAATCGCATCAATTCGTTATTCAGGATCCCCTCCAGGAAGATGCCAAGGATCCCTGTCAAGCTTATGGCCCTGTAATTTGGGCTTGACGTTGGGCTACCACTTTTAGCTTTCAGTCGTCAGGAAATGTAGCAGTTTTAAATGAGCTGTGAAAGAACATTGACATAATCACAGAAAGTTAGCTGGCATGTTCACAGAGAAAATTCGATTAATTCAGTGTCTCTCATTTTTTTCGAAAAAGACCTTCTGAAGAAAGGAAGGTTGTTTATTTTTGGACTTGGCATGTCCTCTGAGGATGGAGAAGAAAACTCGCTCCGTTTGTGTAGGCTGGCTGGAAAGTCTACACAAGCAATCAGTCCTATCTCCTTTTCAACAATTTTGATGATTTCAGTGGTCTTTTCAAGGCGATTTGATTTCTGTCTCCTGCTTCAACATTCGCTGTTGAGCGAATTGAAGCTCTGTGTTGCTTCTAATAACCACTTCTTTATTAATTCCAGACACGTTTTGCGATCAGACTTCTTTAAGTTCTTCTATTTGTCTTGCAATGGTTTGCATATTCGATTCGCTAATAGTGCAGTGTTCTCCATAAGAGTTGGTTTTCCTATTAATTTCGCTTTCTAGCCTTGTGTTCGAATTTCTTGCTCTGTTTTACACTTATCAATAGGAAGTGGTTGTTGATGGACTATAGAAAAATCTTCCTGAACAAATCTTCGTTAGTACTGTCCGTAGACACTGGGCTCCAGTTGACGTCGTGCTAATTGGTTATCATGTGACTGAAGTCACCTCGCCAAATGTTCCGACTTTTTCATTTGGAATTGGCAAAATCGAAAACAGCGAATAAACCCACATAAACAGTAAAGGAACAAATTCATTTTCGTAAGTTTACAATCAGATTTTCGCAGAAATAAGAATCTCTTTCTGAGAACGTCTTTATCGTCATTTTTCTTGAATATTTCAAATATACGAACAATTGAGTCGTTCTGAGATTAGCTTTAAACCGTTGGCCTGGTTAAACACTCCGTCCCAAACCTTACAAAACGTTCCACCACTTCTTCATTCACCAATGGTGTTTAAGCATATGCCCTATTTGACCTCGGGGAAGTGGGTAAAATTCCCTTTCCGAGACGTCTTTGCACCCCTGCATCCAGGTAACGTGACGATAAATGTGCCCCTCACTGTCTCTCCAATGCGTTGGGGGCAGCAAAAAATGCTATATTAGGTAATGCTGTATGCTTAACTGCATAAGCACTATCTAACAATTTGTTACGTATGGTATATCATTTAACCATGAATATATATTACTGGCTGCCTGTTGCGGTTCATGAATTTTGCTCGGTTGTTCCGTTGTGACTGACGGAATTTGACCCAAACACATATCAACTTCCTGCCTGTGCTTATACAGCTTAATTCTGGCTGCTTCACTCCAAGTTAGCGA